GTCTTCAGCCGTGAAGACTGAAGCAAAGAAATCATATAGTTTCTCCGCAATGGCTTTATTGTCCTTGATTGCTCCTTTTATAGCTCGATCATCTAGGGGACCCACAGGTTTTTTTAGCAGGCTTCCTGCTTCTAATGTACTTTAAAAACATTTTGTTATTTCTTTTTGAGTTTTTGGCTAGCTGTTCCTCAAAATCTTTTTTTGCTTTTCTTATTACATGTTTACACTTGATTTGACAGTGTTTCTGTTCCTTTCTATTTATCTCACTAGGATTGGACTTCCACTTCTTAAAAGATACCTTTTTGTCCCTCACTGCTTCTTTTACATGGTGGTTAAGCCACGGTGACTCTTTTTTAGGTCTCTTGCTATGTTTTTTAATTTGGTGTATACATTTAAGTTGGGCCTCTATTATGGTGTCTTTAAAAAGTTTCCATGCAGCTTTCAGGGATTTGGCTCTAGTCACTGTGCCTTTTAATTTCTGTTTAACTAACCTCCTCATTTTTGTGTAATTCCCCTTTTTGAAATTAAATGCCAGGGTGCTGGACTGCTGAGGTGTTCTTCCCACCACAGGAATGTTGAATGTTATTATATTATGGTCACTATTCCCAAGCGGTCCTGTAACGGTTATATCCTGGACCTGATCCTGCACTCCACTCAGGACTAAATCGAGAATTGCCTCTCCCCTTGTGGGTTCCTGCACTACCTGCTCCAAGAAACAGTCATTTAAGCCATTGAGAAATTTTATCTCTGCTTCTCTTCCTGAGGTGACATGTATCCAGTCAATATGGGGGTAATTAAAATCCCCCATTATTATAGAGTTCTTTATTTTGGTAGCCTCTCTAATCTCCCTTAGCATTTCAATGTCAGTATCACTGACCTGGTCAGGTGGGGAGAGGCCGGGGGCAGTGTTCCCTCTAAGATTTTCCACCCATGAGCAGAGTGGGTTTCGTCTTCCACACCAGTATTGACTTCACGTGTGCTTGTTCAGATGTGTGCCACTGTGGCAGCCAAATTATTAACAAATATCTTATAAATATCTCCCTTTCCCCCTCAGCTGCCATCTCTCCCACTCTCCCCTGGTTTTTGCTGCCCCCCACCCCTCACCCTCCTCTGCTGTCCTGGCTCCTGCCCTTCTCACTCTCCTCAGCCTTTTGGGGACCTGCTTCCCTCTCCATCCTCTTTGACCCCTGTACCAGCACTTCTCTTCCCCCTGTGGCTACTCCTCCTCTAGCCCCACTCTGATCATCTGTAACTACACCTCCCCAACCCCTCTCCTAACACCTATCATAGAATCATAGAACCATACAGCTGGAAAAGACCTCAGAAGGTCATCAAGTCCAGCCCCCTGCTCTAGGCAGAACCAATCCTAACTAAATCAACTAAATCAACCCAGCCAGGGCTTTGTCAAACCGAGACTTAAACACCTCTAGGGATAGAGACTCCACTACTTCCCTAGGTAACCCATTCCAGTGCTTCACTACCCTCCTGGTGAAATAGTTTTTCCTAATATCCAACCTGGACCTCTCCCACTGCAACTTGAGACCATTGCTCCTTGTTCTGTCATCTGTCACTACTGAGAACAGCCTTTCTCCACCCTCTTTGGAAGCTCCCTTCAGGAAGCTGAAGGTCTTGGCAGAGGAGGTGAGTGAGGAGGCTAGGGAAGTGGGGTCTCAGCTTGTGGAGGTGGGAGACACTTACTTGCTTTTGCGTGACTCCCAGCACCTACCACTGCTTTTTAAAATCTAGCTAATTTGTTTTGCGTTAATTGCTTAAATTAACTATGATTGAGAACCTTAATTTTCATGCCATTCTGTAAGTTGAGAGTTTGCCCTCACCTGCAGTGCTGGCTGTATTCACTTTTGGTCACCCTACCTCCAAAAAGATGTATCAGACACGGAGAGATTTATGGTCAGTGGAAAGGAGAGTAAAAGGCATTCACTAAAGCTTGTACAATTTTTCTGGGGAATGTTTAGGAACCATGCTGTAAAAACAGATACAAGTTCTCCTCGTTTCAAACTTTCACCTTGTGTGCATCAACAACTCAAAGACTCCCAGGGGTAGCCATGGTAGTCTGTAACTGAAAAAAACTTAAACAATGAATGGTCCTGCAGCACCTGAAAAACTAACAAAATTACAAGAGTAGAACAAATTGACACACAGCTTCCGGGTTTGTAGATAGATGCATGTTTCAAAGAGCTTGCAAATAAAAGTTTCAGACTATAAAACAACTAACATCACACCTAGTACCTGCTACTTCTGACTCATAAGAGCCAGAACTCTACCACATACCATGTATTAATTAGTAACATAGGATTTTTTTAAAATCATTAAGATCAGAGTTTTAGATATCTGCAACACTCAAAAAAAAAAAACCTGTTGAAAGAATATTTTTCTTTTTTATGTTAAGGCATTAATACCTATGTTTGAAATGTAATCATGCAAATATCCTCCTGGTACACACACACCATGCAGCCTGCTTTCCCCTCCAGCTTTCCCTCCAACCCAGCCAGACAGAGAGGACTGCAGCAAGTGAGTCAGGACACCCCCAACAAACTGCCCTTAGGGTTGCCAGATGGTTTCAACAAAAATACTGGACACACTTGACATTACGTCACAATCTACATTACATCTTATTTAGAAAATACCAGGTATTTATGTTTTCTCACTTATATTTTCTCAATTTGTTTTGCGAACAGAAAGCTCAAATCTGGACTGTCCAGTTCAAAATCAGACACCTGGCAACCCTAACTGCCCCCTGACTCTACCTCACTGCAGAGATGCCAGCACGCAGTCACTCCCTTTCCTCACCTAACCCCGTGAAATCTGACCCCACTTCAAGTTGGCCAGGAAACTAATGCCTTCGTTATAGATTAAGTGATTTGCCCAAGTCATATTGGATATTCTTGGCAAACCTAGGAACATAGCTCAGATTTCCTAAAGCTCAAGACATTGCACTAATCAGACAACTACCTTCACGTATTATTCGAATTATTGTACTTTATGCATTAAGTCATTTGTAAGGTAACAGTATATCCAATATTTCACTAGTTACGATAACCATTTTAATTTTTCTACCATAAAAATGACTAAATATTATTTTAGCTATATCACAACTATTTTGTGTGAGGTGAATATATTGTAGCTCAAAAATAACTAGATCAGTTCAGTTAAAGTTATATGCAAATTTTGTACATTTTTATTTTACTTTTCATAAACTTCTGCAAAAAGAGAAACTGGAGACAAAGATTCAAAATATCATCATGCTACCTTTGAGTAATTTATAAGTTTCTGTGAACTCGCTAATAAAACTAGTTGTAAAACCATTACATCTCCTTTATAAAAACAATACTACAGGGAAAGACACTGGAGCTTCAACATGCCTACATCACTATTATTTGCAAGCAGTTCAAAATAGCAGATGTACTTACTGTACAGTACCTGATTTCCATGAAGATCCAAAACATCAAGATTTTTCAAGTTCTCCAGATTAGAGATTTTCTTTATTCTAAAAAATTAAAAGGTAAACAATTTTTCATCAAAATGTAAGATGTAAGTATTTAGCCTATCATCTATTCCCAACAAGTACAAATAAGATGTTAATTGTCATCCAAATGGTATACACCATTCCCATTCAAGACATTTTAGGAACCTAATGATATAGGTGTTGAGTGAAGGCTAAATCTTAATACCAAGATGCTACTGTCATTAGTGAAATAACAAAACATAGCACCTTTCCCTATATAAAACAATGTAACAAAGTCTGTTGGCATTAACAAGATGGTTTATTAGGTGATGGACCATTCTACCATTTCCTGGACACCACAGTATAAATCACCAATGGTAAATTAGATACCACTCTCTACAGAAAACCCACTGACTCATACAGTTACCTACATGCCTCCAGCTCCCATCCAGAACACACCATATGATCCATCGTCTATAGCCAAGCCCTTCGATACAACCGCATCTGCTCTAATCCCACTGACAGAGACCAGAAACTTCAGGATCTCTACCAAGCATT